TTTATACGCTTTAAAAAGTTGATCAATGAATTAATAGATGTATCGTTACCTTGAGTTAGTTTTGAACGAAGGTGGTCTGTGGGCCAAATTATTTTATTCACAGTTTAAATATTATCTTAATTGTAGAAAGTTCTACATTTCTTAATGAAACTCTAGGAAAGACAATATTTTTACAATTAGTGAATGTCAAGTTAAGATGATATTAAAATTTGTAACACTAGCAATGTCAATGATCTAATAATTGGCTAAATATTAAGAAAGTATTTTAGTTTGTATGATAAGTAATAATGTTGATCTTATGTTATTCTATTTGTGGTTAAATAACTGACAATAACTTGGAGGTTTTGCACAATCAAAATTTGACTTCCTGAGAGCCATCATTTGTGCCATTTGGCTTTTGGGTGTAGCAACAGGTGAAAACAGAATAAGTGCTCCTGTCCTTATAGTTTTATCTCCATTACACCGGATGGTAGGCTTCTTGTTGATTTTTCTGTAATTACTTTCATGACTATCTTACTGCGTTTTAAGTGATTAATTGGTTAATTTTCTTTTGTCTGTCTCTTGTCAGCTTGTTTACTGGTAGGAATGACCAACAATTTGTGGTTATTTGGTTATCTCAGTTTTATCATGGCTGTTGAACACAAGGTCAGCACCTCAATCGAATTTACAGACACTGTGGCGTCAGTATACTTGTGAGAAGAGAGAGATTTTGACTGCTACAGTGTATAAAAAGTCTTCAGAATTTCCCTGGGTACTTCCACAACTAATAGAAATTCTTTCGAGAGTGTGGAGTGAGCTGATTTACAAGTTTGACATGCCAGGGCCTTTAGGGGAATGAGAATAGTTCTTTGACTGCACTGTCAGAGGTAATGGATGGTCCTTGTGCCCAGTAGACATTTGACCGATCTGGGAAAACTTTACAAACTGGTTACACTTCCTTCTATTTCCACTAAAACTTTGGCAAACAGCCAACAAGAAAATAATACTGAAGAAAATCTTCAAACTGTAATCTTAAATGATTTTATACTGATAACACAAAATATCCATCTTGTAAGCAATACCAAACTGGACAGCTTGAAGTGATATTTAAATACTACCTTTTGTCTTCTTTTGTCCTCATGGAACAACTCAAATGAAACAAAATTATTACTAACCAAACAATCATCATATCTGTTAATTGATTTTTAAACTAAGATACTTGAGACTCCCTTTCTGCTTCAACTTAATTTTGCAAGAACTGAAAAATGGCCTTGACCAAATTTAAGGTAAAGTAGGCACATATTACTGAGGTAATCTAAGAAAAATC